CGGCTCCAGGAAGCGGTTCCCGCAGCGGGGGCTCTCGGCCAGCTGCTGGGGCTCGGGCACGTTGAAGAGGCACCAGCCCAGCCCCTGCCCCAGGCTGCGCTCCAGGTCCTGCTGGCTGCAGTTGCTGAAGCTCAAGCCGGGTGTGAGCCTGCGGGGACACAGAGGGGACAGTGAGGAGGGCAGGGGGGCACCTGCCACCCTCCCACCCTCTCCCAGAGCCCCCCTTGCGGCTCTCACCCCGTGGGCAAGTCCATGATGCAGCCGTGGTCGTGGTAGAGGTTGCTGCACTCGCAGAAGCGCCCGACGCCGTCGTGGCCCATGCCCAGGCTGTGCCCCAGCTGATGGGCCACAGTGGAGGCGATGACGAGGACGCTGACCGAGTAGTCCTGTGGGACAGAAGGGGCTCAGCGCGGGGGGGCAGCAGGGGGACATAGGGACACGGGGGTACTGACCATGCTGACCCCCCCGGAGCGCGTGGGCGAGCACATGGAGGCTTGGACCGACATCCCCACCGCGACGTCGTCAAAGCTGGAGCCCCTGGGGAGAGAGCACGAGCCTCAGCAGGGGCTGACACCGCCTGCACGCCCTGCCCCGTCCCCAGTCCCCTTGTCCCCGTCCCCGTCACTCACGTGAGGAGCTGCGCGTTGTCGTGGGGCAGCCGGGGCAGCAGCTCCTCCTGGCGCCACCGCAGGAACCGCTCCAGCGTGGCCCGGGCACTGCGCCCCACCTCGAACCTGTCGCCCTCGCTCCACACCTCCACTGCCACCAAGGCCACGCGCACACCCAGAGGCTGGAAGAACTGGGGTGCACAGAGGAGGGGGGGTCAGGGACCCCCGCATGCAGCAAGGGGATGACACGAGGACACACAGACAGGCGTGGCAGGGGCCCGGCTCAACTCACCGTGTCCACCTGGTTGGCAATTTCCAGGGTCCGGGTGCGGGCACGGTTCAGGTCGGGGTAGTTCTGGAACTGCGGGCGCAGGGAAGGGCATCAGCAGGGGAGGGGGCAGCCCCTGGCACCGGGCACCCACCCGCCCTGCACTCACCGCAGCGTGGTCCAGCACCATCACCAGCTCCACGAACCGCGGCTCCGCCACTGACCGCTTGCCCTGGGGGACAAAAATGGGTCAGGGCAGCAGCGAGGGGACCCTGCTCTGGTGGGGGAGGACCCCCAAGGCCACCCTACCCTCTGCAGCCGGGGCGGCTCCGTCTCCAACTCCACCGGGGGAGGCTCCGGGGGGCCCTGCCCACAGGCCCTCGGTGCCAGCCGGACCTCCCGCAGCCGGTACAAGATGTGGCTCCCCGGGGGGCCGCTGGTGTCCGGCTCCAGCCCGTAGCTCCTGTTCTCTGCCACTCGGAAATGGCCACTGCAAGGAGGGGACCAGGAGGGGACCAGGCGTCAGCGGCACAGCACGACCCGGCTCGGGGACCACCGGGGTTGGGGGCTCACCTGAGTCCGGAGCAGGCACAGAGGCTGGCCCAGGAGCTGGGGAAACCTCGCACGTTTCCCCGGTAGCAGCAGTGCTCCTGCAGCAGAGAGCGGGGTTTAGGGGCTGGCCCCGTGCTGGGGGCCCTCTGGGGACGGGGAGGGCTCGGGGACTGCAGGGCACCCAGGTCCTACCTGCCTGCTGGCCTCCTGCACCACCCGCGTGCCGTTGGGCAGGTAGTAGAGCAGCGCCCCGGTGCCCAGCACCAGATCCCTGCCGGAGGAGTGTGTCAGCCCCAAGCCAGGGTCCCCCAGCTCGCCCTGCTCCGAGCACACCGCAGACAGAAACAGGGCCCCCAGGATCCCCCCCCCCCAACCTGCTCCGTGTCCATGGATGGAGACAACAACCCCAGCCCCCCCACCCCACGTGGATCACAGATGGGGACAGGGCTCACGGGACCCCCACCCTGCACACACCATGGAAGCAGACGGGACCCTCACCCACATGCGTCATGGGTGGGGACAGGGCCCTTGGATCCCCCACCCTGCACCCTCCACATGGGGATATGGGACCCCCACCCCACACAAACCACAGATGGAGACGGGGCCCACGGGACCTTCACCCCACTTCTCCCACCCCTGCCCTGCCCCCGCCAGCCCCCCCCCTCACCAGTTTTGCTCCAGCTCCAGCATCAGCTGTGCTCCCTCCAGCTCCAGCACCACCTGCAGCCGGCTGGGGAACCCCCCCTGCAACAGGCAGCGGTCACAGAGGGACCCCCACCCCAGGGACCCATCCCCACCCATCCCATCCCACTCCTACATGCCCTCCGAAATGCCTCGGCCCCCAGCTGGGTGCCAGCAGGGCTGGGGACCCGCCCGAGCCTGGCGCGTGCCCACCAGGGAGGGGCGGAAGGGATCCCCCCGTGCTCCCCGGCCCCCGCCCTCACGCCGCGCAGGAAGCGTCCCTCCCTCGGCAGCGCATTGTGCGGGGACGGGGGTGTCGGACGGAGCCACCGCCACCACCCCCAGCCCCCCCCAGCCACCCCCCTCGCTTCCTGCCTGGTGCGGCGGCGGAAACGCTGGAGAGACTCCCAACGGCCATGGGGTGGGCTGGGCCCTTCCGCCCCGGCCAGGAGGGGTGCTGGGCGCACGGTGGGTGCCAGGACCTGCTAGGGTCCCTCCCAGCACCGGGAGAGGAGAGGAGAAGGGGACAGCAAACCCCCTCCCACACCCCACCGGACCCTTCCCCGCTGACCTCGGGGCTGAGCAGCTGCGCCCGGAGGCTCCAGGTGCTCGGTCCCTTGGGGGATTTGGGATCGGGGGCACTCGGATGCTGGGTTTCCTGCACCAGGAAGGGTGCAGGGGGATGTGGCAAGGCCACGGGCAGCCCCCACCCCACCGCAATCCCCCTGTCACGAGCCAGGCAAACACCCACATGGCACGGGCACCCCATGGAGGTGGCGGGGGGGCTCACCTGCATCGCCTCCTCCAGGCAGAGCGGGCGCTCACCCCGCAGGACCTGCGGCGTCACGTGCCAGTAGTGTCCCAGCTCTGCAGGGTGCTGCTGCCAGCTGTCACCTGCGCAGGGCCCAGAGCCACTGTCACAGCTCGGTCACCCAGCACAGTCCGTGTCCCACCCCCCCCAGCATGGGCAGGAGGGTGGGGAACAGGAGCCAGGGCTCCCAGGCTCACCCCAGCAGCTCCCAGTTTGCCACTGGGTGAAGCCCCCGAGTGTCACCGGTTCCAAGGGACCAGGGCACCGAGCCTTGGAGGTGCCTGGACATGGCACCTGCAGCCGGGACGTGGCATGTGGGGTCACGAAGGAGGCTGTGGCCCCACATCGCAGCACGCCCCGGGCTGGGTGGGGTGGGTTTCCTGGGGTCTCCTGCCAGCTCTTACGTCAGCTGCCGGCACCGAGCCGCCCCGTACAACCCGCTCGGGGACCGGGGAGGCCTGGCCCCAGCTGACTCAGTGTCCCTCGCCCCTGCAGCTCCCCACGACGCTTCCCCACCCTCCGAGAGGGCTCTGGGCACAGCCTGGGGACACGGCAGGACACCTGCACGCCCCCATCCCCACCGCCCCGACACCCCGGGGCAAGGGCTGGACCCCTCCACACCTGGGCCGTGGCGTTGTCCCCAAAATCTCCCGAGGCTGTGACAGCCTCCCCCATGTCCCTTTCCCTTTTGCCGCAGCCCCTCTCACCCCCGGGGGCCGGCGGTCCCCGAGCGATGCCGAGTGCCCGCTGGCACCGAGCGGAGACCTCGGGGAGCCCCCCCGGGAGGGGTTGGCGGGGGCGGGACAGACGGACGGCCGGACAGACGGACGGCCCGGCCCCGGCTGGTGACACACGGCCGAGGAGGTGACGCGGCAGCCGGTCCCAACCGGGACGAGCCCCCCCGCCCGGCACGGACAACGCCGAGCCCCCTGCGTACGGCAGCTCCCGGGTACCGGGAGGAGGAGGGGGAGGAGGAAGATGAGGAGAACGAGGAGGAAGATGATGATGATGATGATGATGATGATGATGATGATGATGAAGAGGAGGCAAAGAGCCCGGTGCCCGCCGCCGGACCCCGCCGCTCCCGGTCCCGGTCCCCGGTTCCCGGTCCCCACTCACCTGCGCCTCTCCCGTGCGCCCCGGTAGCGGCGGCGAGCAGCACCCCCAGGGCGAGGAGCAGCGCCCGTGCCATCGCCCTGCCGGCACCGGGGCCCGTCCCGGAGCCGGTGCGGGCTGCCGCGGCCCCGGGCTGGCGGCTCCCGAGCTGAGCCGGCGCGGCCGCCCCCGCCGGTGCTCCCGGTGCGCATTGCACCGCCACCGCCTCCACCGGCAGCGGCCCGGCCCGGCCCGGGAGGAGGAACTTCCTGCCCGCCGCCGCCCGGCTCCGCCCGCCGCCACCGCTCCGCCGGCGACGCCCAGCTCCGGCCGGTGCCCGGGGGACGGCGGCGGCTCCGCCTCGGCTCGCGGCTCCGGGGCTCCGCGCAGCGGCGGCAGCAGGCGCGCCGGGGAGCTCGGTGTGGCTGCCCGGTGTTCCGGAGAGCCCCCCGCTTTCGGTGCCGGTGCGCAGCAGGGTCCCCACCTGCAGCGTGCCGTGGGCTGGGACCCCCGGCTTCGCTGTCCCGTGTGCTGGAGACCCCCACCTTCATCACCCCGTATAGCAGAGGCCCCCACCTTCATCACCCTGTACACTGGAGACCCTCACCTTCATCATCTCACTCGCTGTGGACCCCCACTTTCACCGTCCTGTATACCAGAGACCCCTGCCTTCATCACCCCATACGCTGGAGACCCTTAACTTCAATACCCCATATGCTGGAGACCCCCACCTTCATCACCCCATACAGCAGAGGCCCCCACCTTCATCACCCTGTACACTGGAGACCCCCACCTTCATCACCCTGTACGCTGGAGACCCCCACCTCTACCACCTCATGCACTGTGGGCTCCCAACCACCCCACCCCATACACCAGAGCCCCCCACCTCTGTCACCCTGCGCAGCAGAGACCCGCACTTTCACCACCCCCTACACCATGGCCCCCCACCCTCAGAGCACATCACCCCACAGACCCCACCACTTGCTTTGGGGGGGGGACACTCAGTGTTTATTGCAGGGTGCCAGGCGCCCTCAGGCCGCGTACCCCTCCTGCTCCTCGCTGCTGTCCTCGGAGAGGCCGCGATCCCCGGGGGTGCAGGCAGGGCACACACGGCCCACGTCCCTCCAGCAGGGCCCGCAGTACGTGGCTCCACAGGCAGGCGAGGGGCAGGCATGGTGGTTCTGGGGGGACTCGGGCTCCCCACACACCGTGCACGGCCGGCGCACCCAGCGGCGCAGTCGTGGCCAGCGCCGGCAGCACCACTCCAGCAGGGACGTCCCCTGCAGCAGGGACGAGGACATGTGGGGCTCTCCCTCCATGGGGAGGACCGGCCACCCCAATGGGGCAAATAGGATGGACCCAGGGAGCGGGGGACACCCTGCGCTGCCCATCCTGGCGTTGGCAGGGGGGGGCCCAGCTCCCTGGTGTGGTGCCAACCCTGTGTCCCCGTCCCCGCTCACCAGGGCTGGGTAGCGGCGTGCCCGCCGGGCGATGCGCTTCCTCTGCAGGCGGACGAAGCAGTGCCGCTGCCGCAGCAGCTTGTTGTAGAGGTAGAGCACGCGGCTCTTCTCCCGCTGCGCCGGGCACAGGCTGTGAGTCCCCCCCCCAAAGAAATGGAGCCTCTGGGGATGTGCGGGGTCTGGGGTTCTGGAGTCGGTGCCACCGCTCACCTTGGGGAAGTAGAAGGCGGCGATGGCGCGGCGCAGGCGGTACATGTAGACCTGGAGCAGGCACAGCAGCACCAGCACGGCCAGGGGCAGGCAGCTGGCTATGTACTGCTGCTGCGTCATGCCCCGGGGCTGCGGCAGGCAGACTGGAGACCGACAGTGGCACTGAGCAGCTCTCGTGGCTGGGAGCAGCCAGGCCAGGGAGCCTCGGGGGGCTCCCATCCCCGCCCCATCTCCAGGGATAAATCCCCAGGGGGCCCTCACCGAAGTTGGACGTCTCCAGCTCCGTGTCGGAGGAGGTGTTCAGGGACCCGATGGTGCTCCGCAGGAGCCGAGCCATCAGGGATGTGCCCGTCACGTGCACGGACAAGTGGTGGCTGCCTGCGGGGGAACAGGGGCACGTGGGGGCTGCGTGGCAAGGCTGGGGGCTGGGGAGGCAGGCGGGGGGGGGGTAAAGGCTTTGCCATGGGGCTGCGGGGCTGGGAGCTGCCCCCCTGGGGGCTGCGGGACCGGGTCTCACTGCGGAAGGAGTACTGCACGAAGGAGTGCTGGTGAATGATGCTCAGCATGGTGTAGAGCGTGTGGTCCAGGCCCCAGGCGAGCAGCAGCAGGAGCAGGGGCGGGATGCACTCCAGCAGCTCCAGCACCTGCAGGGAGCGGGGTGGGGTCCTCCACGACCTGCCCCTGGCACCCCAACCCCACACCCCCAGCCCTCCCCCCCCAGCCCCTCACCACGCTCTGCAGCTCGCGGGGCTGCATGGCCAGGCGGCACGGAAAGATCACGGTGGGGATCTCCTGCCCGGCGCAGCGGCAGCAGCGTCCGCTTGTTCTGGGAGAAGGGGGAGCAGGGGGGCTCAGTACAGCCCTGGGGGGTGCTGGGAGGACCAGGGGGTGGCGGGGACCCCTGGGTGGGGGGGACCCCCTGCCCCATCTCCCCCCTCACCTGCTTTTTGCGCCGGGCGTCGATCTGGCGGAAATAGGTGGTGATGTAGAGGTTGTCAAAGCAGATGTCCTGGCAGTACTTCTTGGTGTAGGAGAACGCCCTGGGAAGAGAGGGGGTCCCGAGGGAGGCAGGGGGCAGCTGAACCCCCCCCGCTCCCCAGCACCCCCTTGTGTTCACAAGCCCACCATTCCTGTCCCTAAGGGAGGTTCCCATCACTCTGTGCCCTCCCAGCCCCCAGCCCCCGGCTCACGAGATGAAGACGAGGAGGAAGGTGAAGGAGAGCAGCAGGCGGAAGAAGGAGAAGGCCTGGCCCAGGCGGGCGCTGTGCTGCCGGATCTGCGAGGTCACCTCCTCCACGATCTGCTCCCCGGACACGTTGATGCCCACCAGCATCTCATGGTGCTCCTCCTGCAGCAGGGGGGGGGCCGTGGGGCCAGGCACCATCCTGCCCCGGCCCCAGCACCGGGTGGATGGGGTGGGCACCCACCTCTATGACCACTTTGGCGCTGAAGTGCTGGCTGAGGTTGTTGACGGAGTTGTTCAGCATGTCGTACATCTGCCCAAAGTTGCCCTCGACAGGGATCCTGTCCCAGCACCAGCTGTGCATGACTGGGGGGGCACGGAGGGGACAGCGCTGGCATCAGCGAGGGATCCCCCTGGCACCTCCCCGGCACGGGCTGGGGCTCACGTCCAAGGGGTCTGGCAAAGGGGGCTGAGCTCCCGGAGCAGCTCCCCCATGGGAGGCCGGGGCTGGGCCCCCCCATCACCCACCCTTGACGATGTGGCAGAGGAACTTGAACTTCATGGGCAAGCAGAGGAGGTGGCTGATGAGGGGCACGACGATACGCGCCATGCAAGCCTTGTGCTTCTTGTCGAACCAGTCCCGGCACCGCTGCATGGCCTGGTCCACCACATCTGGGGGGCAGATGTGGGGGGCTCAGCCCAGCGCACGGCTCCCCTGCGCCCCGACCCGTGCCCGCTTGCAGCCATGAACCACCCCGGGCTTGTGGGGGTGAGCACCGGGCTCCGCTGTGCCCCACTCACACGTGCAGCGCAGTTTGGTTTTCATTTCGTACAGCTTCTGGGTGCTGAGCCCGGCCTGCGAGTCCGTGCGCTCGCCCTGCTTCAGGTCGTACCCCTCCTCGCTGGCCACCTCCTCGTTGAGCTCCACGAAGGCGCGCGAGATGTTCTGCGTCTCGGCGTCCAGCTTCTGCCCACCACGCTGCAGGAGGGGGGAGCGGCTCGGCCCCGCGCCCCCCGGCCCCCTCCCGCCGCCCCCCGCCCCGCAGCCTCACCACCATGTCCTCCATCACCATGCGCAGCGGCACCGTGGACACCCTGCCAGAGGTGGCGGCTGTGGTTGACCTGCAGCTCCGTCACGCAGCCCACTGCGCGGATCACCTCGTCCAGGTTGTGCCACACGTTGGCCACGGGCCCTGGTGCAGGCAGGGCTGGCTCAGACACCCCCCCCCCCAAAACCAGGGACCCCGTGAGGGCAGCGGGTGGGGGTCCCTACCGTTGTAGATAGCAGCAAGGACGAAGGAGAGGACGAAGACCCGACCCTCCTTGCCCAGGAACTTGGGGACCACCAGCAGGCTGGCGCAGCGGATGTGTGGGGATGTGGCCCAGCCCAGAGCAGTCACCCCTGCGGGGAGCAGAGAGCTGTCCCCACGGCCCCACGGGGGACCAACGGCGCTGGGGGGACCACTGTCCCGTGCCTCCCCCCAGCTCCATCCTCACCTGCCAGCCCGCACGTCAGCTGCACCTTGCGCGTCTCCGAGAGGTTCATGGGGACAATGAGGAGCTGGCAGAGCCCTGAAATACCCGCACAGTGCCATGAGTCCCCGGTGCCAAAAACCCCTCTGTGCCCTGCACCGGGACACACTCACCAAGGCCGAGGAGGCTCCCGATGCTGGCACCAAGGAAGAACTTGGTGCCGCGGTGCTGGTCTGGCCGGCTCCAGAGGAACTGGCTGCACGAGGTGGGCAGCAGCGTGACCGCTGCTCGCTTCAGGGCTGGGTGGGGAGGGAAGCATCAGCCCTGCCCTCGCCCGCATCCCGTGGGGCCAGGAGCCGGGCAGGAGAGGCCCTCACTCGTGTTGGGTGGCTTCTGCCTCCCGTGTGCCTCCGTGCCAGCCATGCTCTCCAGCTCCGTGGCTCGGTGCTCGTCCCAGTAACGGGCGGGTGCTCCCATGGAACCGCTGTGTTGTGAGCCGCCCGTTGCCGTTCCACCGGCAGCATCGGTTGCAGGAACCGCACCGGGAGCCTCAGAGACCCGAGCATGGAGCCAGTCACGGGGCTGAAGAAGCTCCAGGGCTGGGCAAAGAGGGCTTGGGGCAGGCAGCCGCAGCAGAAGCGCTGGCTGGAGGAGGACAGCAAGGTGCGGGAGGTGGCCCGCAGCACTGCCGGCTTCGTGCTGGGCATGGCCCTGGCCAGCCTGTACGGGGCCCTGGTCCTGCTGGCACAGAGCGGCAACCTCTGGTACTGCCTGGTCACCACCATCAGCCTGGGCACGGCGCTGGGGCTGGGCATGGCCTTCTCCATCAAGGTGCGCGTCTCCGTGCTGCTCACGCTGCCCCACATCTTCACCAGTAAGCAGCCGGGGTCCCGCAGCTGGGGGGCACGGGAGGTGCTGGCCCCCTGCAGAGCCCCAGGGCCACCCTGTCCCCACAGGGGAGGGCAAGATGCTGCTGCTGCTGCTGGCGCTGGGCATGGCTGTGCAGGGGCCCTGCACCAACATCCTGCACAACTTCTCCCGGGCCGCCGAGTCCCTGTCGTGCGGTGCTGAGCTCGCCCTCAACCAGACGGCCGAGAGGCTGCAACGTGCCCGGGAGCCACTGCTGAGTGAGATGGGAGGGGGATTGGGGGAATGAGGGGGGGCTCTCCCTGGGGTGTGGGAGGAGGTGGGCAGTGCTGGCCAGGTCCTGGGCTGCCCACAACCCTCGAGGTGCGCTCAGGGCCCTGCTCTCCGCAGAAGTGCTGGCCAAAATCAAGGACATTGCCCAGAAAGCCAAGGTGGTGGGTGACCGCGTGCGCAAGTTCTTCCGCTCCATCATGGACTCCGTGAGCCACGTCGGTGCGTGGGGGCTCCCGGGCTGCCCCCAGCCTCATCACCCCCCCCGAGCCCCCGGTCCCCGTCCCCATTGTCCTCTCCCTGCCCGCAGCCCGAGCCCTGCGCAACGTGTGGCGCTGGCTGGCCAGCGTGGGCGAGCTGTGCAACCAGGAGCTGGGCACGCCGTTCCGCCGCTGCCTGCGCCTCTTCGAGGAGGCCAAGGACAACTGCGAGCGCGCGCTCTCCTTCCTCTTCTTCCTCTGCTACATCATCATCACCTTCAGGCCGCTCTGTGGCCTGGCCAACGGTGCGTACGTCCCCCCTGGCCACCCTCTGTGGTGAGGGGGGCACAGCAGGGCAGAGCCACAACCGCTGCCTGCCCCACTGCTGCCTGCCCCACCCTGGCAAAGCCTCCCCTTCCCGCAGTTGGCCTCCTCTTCTGCATCATCCCCCAGTACATCCAGTCCTTCCTCAAGAAGACGATCGCAGCCCGTGAGCATCCCGGCACTGCCGGGGGGCTGGGGACCACCCTGTGCCCCCCATTTCCCCTTTCCTGTCTCTCTCACCCTGACCCCCAGCACCGCCCCGCTCCTTGCCACCCCCGCAGCCCTCAGCAGAGCGCTGGACCGCGTGCGCAGGGAGTTCGAGTTCAACATCTCGGCCGTGCACCACTTCGACATCAGCCTCAACTCCAGCAAGACCCTGGCTGATGTGGCCCTGGACATCATGGAGGGCGTGAGCCAGCGCCTGGAGCCCACCCGCCAGGTCGTGGGGCTCTTCGCATACGCCTCCTCCTGCGCCATCCTCTACCTGTACCTGAAGTGAGGGTGCTGGGGCTCTGCTCTGGGGGCTCGGGGTGCCCAGCGAGCCGTGCCCAGCACCCCGCACCCTCCCCAGGGCGCTGCGGTACCGCCACCGCTACCTGCGGGACGACACCTTCGACAACGTCTACATCACGCAGCGCTTCATGGACATGGACGTGCAGCGAGCTGAGCAGGGCAAACCCACGGTGCTGCCCCTGAACTTCTGGGAGAGCGGCCGCTACATCCACCCCGGTGAGCCCTAAGGTGGGGAGGGTCCCCCCGTGCCATGGAGCCGGGGGGGTCCCGGCACGGCACAGCCTCACGGTGCCCCCGTGCCCGCCCAGGGATGCCGTGGCTGTCGCAGCAGGAGCGGCGCCGCTATGTGCTGGAGCTGACGGGGGTCCTGCGGCACGTGCTGCTGGGGCTGAGCCTGGTGCTGGCCGACTACAGCCTCTTCTGGCTGCTCGACCTGGTGCGGCACCAGATGCAGGGCGAGATCGTCGCGAGGGGTGAGCGGGCGTCCCTGGCCTGAGCCCTTCCCTGTCCCCCCCCCGCCCCTTTCTGCTTTGCTGGCTCGGGGATGAGGTTTTGGGGTCCCTCCATGCCCCTGACTCAGTCACCCCTCAGCCCCGGCGATGATGGCCATCAGCGTGGACGGGACGGGCTACACCAGCGAGATCTTCCAGGACCTGGTGTCTGCCTTCGACGTGCTGCAGCAGGGCAACGTCTCAGTGCTCTCCCAGCGGTGCCTCCTGCAGCCCGTGGAGCCCGACTACGGCGCCTACATCAGCATGGGTGACCGAGGGGGCGGGCAGGGGGTGCCCACACCCCGTGCAGGGTGTACGGAGGTGGGGGGGGGGTCACCACGGCATGACCCATCCCTTCTTTGCAGGCATCCTGTACGGCATCTGCCTCTTCGTTGCCATCTTCGGCAACCACGTGGGACGCCTGCGGCGGGTGGTGTGTGCCGCTTACTACCCGGCTCGTGAGCAGGTGAGAAGCCCCCACCAAGGCGCTCCCGCCCCCAAAAGCCGCCCTCACCCTCCTGTCACCTTCGTGCCCAGGAGCGGACGTCGTTCCTCTACAACACCATCCTGGCACGGCGGGCAGGGCTGGTGCGTGCCCTGCGCGATGCGGTGAGGATGAACTCGGGGGATGCTGCGCAAGGCAATCTGCTCCTCTTCCTCACCTCCAGGCGAGTGTCCCCGTTATGCACCTCGCTGGGCACTGCTGGAGCTCGGTGACAACCCTCAGGGTGGCTTTGCTCTGTCCCCACTGAGCTGTCCCCGTTCCTTCCTGCAGGGTGCCTGCCTTTGCCCGGCTGGTTCGGCTCCTGGGCATCCAGCGGAAACACTGCCTGGCCTGCGGGGTGGCGGAGCAGAAGGACTTCATCGCCTGCATCACACCCGACTGCAAAGGTGGGGCAGTGGGAGGAGGGTCAGGACCCCCCCCCCACGCACACACACCTACCCCACCCTGCTTGCTGTCCCTCCAGGGCTGTACTGCAGGGAGTGCCACCAAACCCTGAACAACGTCTGCTCCATCTGCATGGGTCCCCTGAGCTACAAGGACATGGGGGACGAGGAGATGTGAGCAGGCTGGGGGGGGGACACGGGGGGAGGCGCGGAGCTGGGGACATCCCATGGGCTTGTGGGATGGGGGGGGCTTTCTCTGCCCTCTCCCCACAGGGACTCCAGCGACGAGGAGACGCTGGGGCTGTGGCTGGGAGCGCTGCGGACGCTGCGGGGCCACGAGCAGGAGGAGCTGCGGGAGCAAGGGCGGCTGCTGAGGCAGCGCATCCAGGAGGTGGCGGGGGGCCGGGGGGGAGCCCGCCGCCTGCCCCCGGAGTTGTTGGCCCAGCTGCGAGCCCGGCTGAAGGAGGAGGCGAGCGAGGAGAGCGATGGGGACAGCTACGGGGTGCCTGGTGAGGACAGCTCCTTCTCCAGGTGAGGACTGGGAGAGGTGGCCTTGGGGACATGGGGGTGCGGGTCCCTGATGCTGCTCTGCCCTCCCCATCCCCTCCCAGCCTTGATTTCAGCTACCAGGAGCAGCCCGAGGGCAGCGGCAGTGAGCTGGAGGAGGTGAGGGTCCTGCAGCCGCCCAGCAGCGAGGGCAGGGCCGGGTGACGGCAGGACAGTGACGTGCAGACGGCTCGGGGGCTGCGGGGACACGGCGCAAGGCTCTGGGGATGTGGCCGGAGCCCCAGCAGTGCAGTGGAAGCCGTGAGCTGCTGGGGCAGATGGGGAGGGGTTGGTGAATAAAGCACCCGGTCTTCAAGCCACCGGTGTCCTCGTGCCCTGAGCTGGTGTCTGGCACCGCTGCAGTGTCCCCGTCCTCCCCCCTCATTGCACCCCCAGCTCCAAGCCCCAGCCCTGCGCTGTCCCCAGCCCTGCTGTAACCCCATCCCCATCCCTCACGGTGCCCCCAGCCCCATCCCTGTCCCCAACCTTGTTACTCCCCCTCCTCCATCCTGGTGGCTCTCCCACTTCTGTCCCCGTGATGTCCCCAGCCACATGGTGCCCCTGTCCCCACGTTATTCCCAACCCCATCGTGCCTCCACCTCCATCCCAGCAGTGCCCCCTGCCCCCTCTGTGTCCCCCCAGTGTCCCCAGCCCTATCGTGGCTCCATCTCCGTCCCTGCAGTGAACCCAGCCCCATCACCGTGGTGTCCCCAGCCCCATCATCGCGATGTCCCTGGCCCCACCGTGCCCCCACCTCCAGCCCCGTGGTGTCCCCAACCCCATGCAGAGCTGTACTGGTGTGTGTGTGGGGGGGGCTGGACAGACAGACGGGGCGCACGGGATCCCTGCTTCTCTGTTTATTATCAAGCAGCCTTCGTTTAAAAAAACAAACAAACAAACAAACAACAAAAAGACGCGACCCGGCGGCGCGGGGGGCGCGGCCGCCCGCGGATTATTTCATTTGGTTTCTTACACCAGAGAGGTTCAAGTAGCCGAAGATTTCAAGTTCACCATAAGGCACTTTAAAGCCATGACAGGAGCCAACCCCCCCCCCGTCCCCATCACCCCTCCCGTCACCCCATGGCAAGGGACAGACACGCAGAGGCCAGGCAGCGCTGGCGGGCAGCAGCGGAGGGGCACGGGGGGGGGGTGGGTGGGTGGAAGGGGGGGGGAATATATTACATCATCTTTTTAAATATAGATAAACTCTTATTTTAGGCAAATAGTGCCGGTCCCCTGCCCCCCGGGCGTGCCGGGGGGGTCTGCGCCCTGGGGGCATGTGCAAAGGGCAGAGGGGTGACCGCGGGGGCCCGGCCACCCCGGGGAAGGGGTCCCACAGGGCCGGGGCGTCACGGGGGGGGGGGGGGGGGGGGAGGAAGGCGGGAGGGGGGCCGGGGGGGGCTCACCCGGAATAGTGCAACCAGAGAAAGCAGCCGGGAGTGCAGGGGCGAGGGGGCTCGCCGGGGAGGGGGGGGCTGCTCGGGCCGGGGGCCTGCGGGGGTGGGCTGGGGGGGCTCCGGGGACAAGCTATGTACAGCGCGGGCCGAGCGGGCGGGGAGACCCCCCCCGGCCGGTGCCGCGGAGGTGGGGGGGGGGCCGCCAGGGGGCGCCCCCCCGCCGGCCGGGTCCCGCCCCCGGCCGCGCTCCCGGTTACCGGGGATGGGGGGGGCGGCCCCGGGGAGGGCGGTGCGGCCCCTCCCGGCCCGGGGCCGGTCCCTTCCCGGCGGCTCCGGCGTCCCGGGAACGGCGGCGGGGGCGCCCCGGGAAGTCGGGGTTCGGAGGGGGGGCGCGGCGGCGGGGGCGCCCCGGGCCGGAGGGGGGCGGCGACGAGGGGGCCCCCTCCGCCCCATTGTGCAAATCCGCCAGGGGGGGAGTTTCCCCCTTTTGCATAATTCAGAACAAACCGTGACGGGAAAAACAGGAACAGAAACCCCGTCGGGAGGCGCGGCGGGGCGCGGCGGCGGCGGGGCAGCGCGCCCGGGGCTGCCCGGGGGACCCAGGCGGGCCGGCGCCGCGCCTCCCCCCCAGCCCGGCGGGCACGGCCCGGCCCGGCCCGGCTCGGCCCGGCTGGGCTCGGCTCGGCTCTGCCCGCCGCCCCCCGGCGCGCTCCGTCGGGGCGGCCGCGGCGGCTCCTACGCCGACTCCACGGGCACGGCGCCGTCCGGCTGCGGCCCCTCGTCGGGCTCCGGCTCGGGCTCGGGCTCGGGCTCGGGCTCTTCCTCCTCCTCGTCGGGCCTCGCCGGCCCCCAGTAATGGGCGAGGGAGAGGCGCAGCCCGTCCAGGCGCCCGTTGGAGAGGTCGAGCCCCGGGGGCCCGGCGGGCGGCGGCGGGGGCTCGTCGCGGCGGCGGCGGCGCGTCCGCACCTCCAGGCAGTTCTGGCCCTTGAGGTGCCGCTGGAGGTGGTCGTCCTTGGCGAAGGCCTTGTGGCAGACGTTGCACTCGTAGGGCCGGGCGCCCGTGTGCAGGTGCATGTGGTTCTTCAGGTCGTAGCTGTGCAGGAAGCGGGCGCTGCAGTGCTGGCAGGAGTAGGGCCGCTCGCCCGTGTGCTTGCGCATGTGGATCTTCAGCTTGTCGTTCCTGGGGGGGGGGAGAGGTCAGCAGGGTGGCAGGCACCCCCAGGCAGCGGCTGCCGGGATGGCAGCGCACACCAGGGCAGGGATGTGCTGCGGGGACAACAGGGGCACCCATGCACCCATGGGACAGGGATGTGCCAGGGGGTGGCACAGGCATCCCCAGAGCGAGGATGGGCTTGGGGGCAGCACGAGCATCCCAGCGGAGTGCATGGGACACATGGGGTTGGGGTGCTCGGGCAGGGCAGGGCAGGAGACCACATCCCTGCTGCCTGGCTGGGGTGCACAGAGACCAAACCCCCCCAGGCAGGTGTGCATCCCAGGGGAAACGTGTCCCAGGGACGCCACGGGGACACCAGCAGCCACACGGGCTGGAAGAGGACGTGTCACAGGGTACCCCAGGGACCCCCGAGGCAGGGCAGGGAGGGGGCCAGGCCGGCAGCACTCACCGTGTGAAGCGGACCCCGCAGACCTGGCAGGCGAAGGGCTTCTCGCCCGTGTGCGTGCGCATGTGGCGGGGCAGCTTGCCCGCGCCGTGGATGACCTTGTGGCAGACGGGGCACTCCTGGGGCATCTGCGAGCGGCGCTTGCGCACCAGCTTGTCGGGCGTATCCAGCCCGGACGCCAGCGACTCGTGGTGCAGCGAGCTCAGGTACGCCATGAGGTCGGGGTCGATGGCGTCCTCGTCGGAGCCGCCCTCCTCGGGGGACAGGGACGGCTGGTAGGGGAAGGGGAAGGGGTGCGGGGGCAGCTCCTCTTCCTCGGGCATCTCGTAGCTCTCGTAGGTCTGGACCAGGCCCTCAGGCAGAGGGGGCAGCAGGGGCGAGGGCGAGGGCGGCTGGGGAGGTGGCAGGGGGCTGTCGTACCCCTCGGCCTCGGCGGGCAGCTCCTCGGTGTGGTTGTTGAGCCGGGAGCCACGGGCTTGCAGGAACTTGCGGGTCTTCTTGCTGCGGCGGGCAACGGGGCGGGCGGGTGGCAGGGTGGGCACCTCGTCCTCGGGGAGGGTGGCGAAGGCCTCCAGGTAGCGGCGAGCCCGCTCGCAGTCGCCATCATCGGGGCCGGGCGCCTCCAGCCCGCTGCCCTGTAGGATTTCCACGCAGGCAGCGATCACGCAGGGTATTTCCAGCAGCTGGGCGGCCTGCAGCACCTCGCCCATGTTGGCACTGCTGATGGTGAGCGTGGCCGTGTAGGCAAACTCCAGCAGCGCGCCCAGCGCCTCCGGCCCTACAAAGTCCAGCTCGCAGACCTCCTGCCCCGGCCCCTGCCCCGCAAACAGCTTCTTGAAGTAGCGGCTGCAGGCGGCCAGCACGGCCCGGTGCGTGCGGTACTCCAGCCCCTGCGTCTTGATGGTGACGTCGCAGAGCACCCCGAGCTGCCGCTGCTCGTTCAGGCTGCTCAGCAGCTCGCTGCTGTGCTCGGGGAAGGGGATGCCAATGAGGTCGTCCTCCGGGCTCGCCATCGTCCTCACCTGCGGGAAGCAGAAGCCAAGGGGGCTCAGCACCGGGCAGCGCCCTTGGGTGCTCGGAGCCGTGGGGTGCTGACGGCGCAGAGGGCTGACGGGAGGCGGGGGGAAGATGGCGCTCGGAGGAAACTTTGTGGCTGAAGTGTCAGCTCTGCTGCAGAGCCGGGGGGGCAAGGAAACCCCCTGCCGTTGAGGAATGCACCGGGGGCAGGGTGCCCCCAGCAGCGGGGTGCTTGGGGCTGGAGGGGCGCACGGCTCGGCACTGCCGGGGCCTTGGGTTTGGGTTGGACGCCGAACCTTCCCCGCCACGTCGAGGCAGCCGTGCCGCGGGGGCTGCCCTCGCCCCCCGCTGCGAGGTTGGCGGGCGGCGGGCCCCCCGCCGCAGCCCCCTGCACTTCCTCTGCCGCCAGCACCCAGCCGCCCGCGCCGCCCCCCGCGCGACCACAGCAAAGGGGGAAATCTCGGCGCGGTGCCTTTGAACGGTGCCGAGGCGCGGCGCTTCCTGCGCCAGCCCACCCCCTGCGGCCCCCAGCCCGGCCGGGCGCAGCCGCTGGCTCCCGGCACCCCGTCCTGGGAACGTGGGCCTCGCCGGCGGCGGGCGCGGGTGGGCGGGCGAGTGCCGGGAAGAGGGCCCCGAGGGCCGGGGGCCGCCCCGCAGAGCCCAGCCGGGCTGGGAACACGGGCCACGCTTCCTGCCACGGCAGATTAGGATCAGCACAAGCGCCGGTTCCTGCCCCCGCTCCCAGTGGGGGCCCAGCCCCCTCCCTCCCCCTTTGCCCCAGCCCGGGGCCGCTCCTCGCCCAGCCAAGCCCTGCCTGCGTGAGCAGGGCCTTTCCCACGCTGCAACTGGCAGGGCTTTACGTCAACGCAGCCATAAACCCAGCACCGAGGCCTTCCCGGGCCAGCGGCACCGCGGGGCAGGCTGTGCCCGGCACAGGGGCACCACCAGCACCAGGTCCCCACGGAGCAGCAAGGAGGGGATGTGCAGGCACCCAGCACCCAGCAGCACTCGTGGCCACGGCCAGCTGCCGGTGCTGGTGCTCAGAGGGCGATGGACACATGGGATGAGGGAGCCCTGCTGCTATCCCCAGCCCTGGGCATGGGACGATGGCTTCAGGAGCTCCTGCAGCCAGGACATGGCCCCGGTGCTCAGCCACCAGCAAGGCTGTCCCAGCCCTCTGTGGATGCTCGGTGGCACCAGGGTCTGCCTGGTGGCCACAACCCTTGGCAAAGGCAATGCCAAGAGCATGGCACGGCCATGCCCGCACACCCAGCGGTGCTGTGCCACGCCACGCTAAGCACAGCCCTGGCTGCACATGGCACTGCCGGACAGCGCCAAGCCATGCCCGTCCCCACCGTGCCATGCCAAGCCGCTCCGAACCGAACCCCGCCGCGCCGGGACGGCTGTGCCAAGCCGCGCGGTGCCGTCGGCGGGCGCGGGGGACGTGCCCCCTCTTGCCCGCCGAGGGGCGGCGCGGCCGGCGGGCCCCCGGCGCAGGGGCCCATCCCCACGCCGGCCGCTCCCTGCGCTTGGGCGCCCGCCAGCTGGGGCTGCCTCGGCAGGCGGCTGGGAACGGCCCCGGAGCAACCGGCTGCGGAGCCGCCCCAGCCGCTGCCGAGCAGGCCCGACCGGCAGGGCAGGCGGCAGCCGCCCCTGAAACTGGGAGCCGGGCAGTGCCGACCGCCCGGGACGCCGGCGCCACCGAAATCCTGTGCCCCCCCCCCCTCCTCCCCGTACCCACCCTGCGGTGCCCACCGCTGCGCACCCTGCGCTGTTCCCCAGGTCCCCGCTGAGGTGGGGGCGAGCGGATTAGGGGCGATTAAGCCATCAGGGCGCTGGGAGCCAACAGGCAGTGACAGCCCCCGATGAGATTAGGCAGGATTAGCAGCGGGGGGAGGATTATGGGAGGTGAGCGCCCTGTGCCGGGGCTCGGGTGGCCCTTGGGGGGGGGGGGGACAGGGACACTGTGTCCATCGAGCGCTGCCTGCAGCACCCCGGGGCTGGAGCAGGCAGGCTGAGCACCGGCTGTCCTGGGACGGGTGGCACACGCTGCTGCTGGACGCAATGGCAGGACAGATGGACAGGAAGCAAAGCAGGGCAGGAAACGCTGGCAGAGGGAGGCAGCCATGCTCGTGCCCTCCTTCATCCATCGCTCGCTGCATCCCCTGAACAAACGTGATGGCAGCAGGAGGCACCTGCTGCTCCAGGTCCCCACGTGCCCTCCAGCACCCCCAGCCCCTCGAGACATCCGGGCACGATGCGCTCGTACGGCTCTTCCTGTTTGCAGGGCCGGGGCTGGCACCGCTGGCACGCTCCCCTTTGGGGTGCTGCTTCACCACGGGCCCGTTGCAGCACCCGAGGCCCCAGCTGCACCGGGGGGGGCTCCGAGGCCCACACGCGGCCTCTGTTCAGCATCCCTCTGGCAGCCTCGCCGTGCCACGGGGTGCACGCAAGAACCCGAGCTCAAGCACCCCGACTGCGGGAGCAGCCCGGGTGCTGCAGAGCTCCCTGGAGGCACCATTTGGGGGCCGGGGCGAAGGAATCGGGACCCCCGGGAGCAGCCGCTGGGGCCGGATGCCTGCGGACGAGCGACCCGCGCTGGGGCAGGGCGGGGGCGAAGAGGTGGCAGGAGGGGGATTTTCCATCGCACCAAACCGCCCGTTACTGCTTCTTCCCCGACACCCCCCCCCCCCCCGCGCATCCTCCCCACTGGAGCGAAGTCACATGCTGAGCGGGTGCCATTGAGGAGATCGCAGCGGCGATAAGGAAATGGGGGGGGGCAAGGTGTGAGGGAGCCAGAGCCGCCCCCAGCCCCCCCTGCATGGCAGGGTCCCCTTGCTGGTGCTGGGGGACAATGCGGTGGGGTGCAGGCAGCTGGGGAAGGGGCTGGCAGCATTGCCGTGCCCCCACCGAGCCAGCACTTTCTCGGTTACGTCAATGCCCGCAGCCGGGCCCGTTTTGCCCTCCGCAGCTGCACAGGGCTGGGGAAAAGGGGGGGGGGGGTTGCTCCCCACGCCGAGCCAGCTCCCATGCCCAGGGCATGCTGCAGCAGGAACAATGGCTCCCGGGTCACCCTGACATCCCAGCCGCTGCCGGCCCCGCCGCACCTGGCAGCCAGCACCCACCCGGCGCAGGAACCGGCTGCGTCCCCCCCCGCAGAACCCATCCTGCACCCGGCCACGGGGCCAGCAGACCCGGGTGGGAGCTGGGGACCCCGGGGCCTCTGCCTGTTCCCTGCTGTGGGCAGGAGGATGAGGGGCTGGGGGTCCCGGGGTGCGCGGCTCCGGGCTGCTCCTGGGTGCTGCTGCTCTCATTAACAAGAGCTGAAACGCTGTCGAGGGACTTCACAGCCGCACCGGGGAGAATGAGTCACCCAGGAAGGTGAGCGCAGCACCAGGCAGCGCATCGGGCCCCGGCCCCTCGCCCCAGAGGGGCCCCTCGCCCTTTGGGAGGTGGGAAGGGGACTCAGGTGGCCGGGCGTCCCCCCACCCACCCGTCACCCTGCCCAAAGCCTGCAGGGAGCAGCGGTGGCCGAGGCGCCCACGCCGTGGGGCATGGGGGGTGGCATGGCTGCGGGATGGGGTCTGCACAGCCCCGCTGCCAACCGCAATGAAATGGATGGATCAGGGTCTGGCCGACCTGGTGGTCCCCGAAGGGGCACGCACCAGAGGTGCAGCTGGGGGTCCCGATGCCGAAGGGGAGCCCGGACGTGGGCTGGGGAAGCGGTCCCGCTCTTTGAAAGAAGAAAACAGCGAGCACACAAGAAAGGAAATGGTTTGAAGAGACAAGAGAACAAACAGAACCCACCCGCCCTGTATTGAGGGGGGGTGAGCCCCACAGCAGCCGCCCCAGCAGCAGCCCCACAGCTCCCTGCGCACCCCCCCAGCTCCTCCCGGCCCGCAGTGACACCCGGAGAGCTCCTGGTCCCCGCAAGTGGCGAGTGCCCCGCGGCCACAGCCGCGCACCCAGAGCCTTCAGCACCGGAGCACCCGAGCATCGTGGCCCAGCTCTGCCTCTGTGCGCACCCAGGACCGGGGCTGGGCTCCAGGCACGGGCAGCCCCATCGTGGTGGCACGGCCGGCCCGGTGGCATCGCCACTGCCGATCCCAGCACCTGCAGTGGGGACCAACAGCTGGGAGCCCGCTCCATCCCCCTGCCCGCGGGCCCCAGCCTGGCAGCACGGCCCCGTCCTGCTGCCAAAGCCTTCCCCACTGCCCGTGCCAGGCAGAGGCACGCCCGGCACCGCTGCTATGGGGCGCGGGTCCCACTCTGCCAGGCAGGGACACCGAGGTGACCCGCACCTCGCCACCCATCCCATCCCTCCCCATCCCAGCGGCAGCGAGGGCGGTGCAGGGCTCGGTTGACGCCAGCATCCCGCCGGCCAGCCCGGCAGCCTCCCAACCGGTGCCCCGGTGCCCTCCCCGTGCCCGGCTGTGCCAGGGCCCTGCCAGCTCCCCAAGGGCCACCCGGCACCGTCTCCGCCGCGGCCGGCGGCGGGTGGGCGCTCGGCTCACCTGGCGCGTGTCCCCGCGTGGCTCGGCGCTCCGCCGCCGTTGGGTCCACGGCCCGCGAGCGGCAGGGAGGGGAAGGCAGGGTGCTGTGTGAACTTGGCCCCGCTCCCCGCTGCACTTCAGCGCGGATCCCACCTCAAAAGGAGTTGACGCCCACACCCCGGGTCACGCACCTCCCAGCCCCGCTTCCCAGAACACACACAGCATTAACCCTTCTGCAACCGGCACCGCGGCCGGGGCGCCAACCCGGAACCGGGCAGGGGGCAGCCCCGGCACCCTCCCGCTGGAGGAAATTCCCGGCGGCGCTGGGACCGTGCGCCCCGCACCGTGGGCATCCCCTCCCCGCCTCACCGGCCCCCCGTGCCGAGGCGTCGGCCGGGCCCTCGCCCTCCCGCCGCCCCGGGGCAGGGCGCTGGGTGCTCGCCGCTGGCCGCGGCCGGCCCTGGCCAAGCCAGGAGGGCGCCTGCGCTCGGCGGGAGCGGGGCTGCCACCGCAGGGCTGGGCTCGGTGCGGCGTGCCATGGCCTGCCCCGGAGCCGCCCCCCAGCCCTGCACATGCACGTCCCGCTCTGCCCCCAAAGGCAGCCCCGACACCGCCGCGCCGCCCCGGGCCCCGCCGTGCCGCGGCCTGGCCAAGGCGGGTGGCACGGGGAGCCCGGCCACCAGCAGCCTGGCACAAAGGGCTGCGCACGCCACGACCTGGGGAAGGGGCTTGCGGATGGCCCCGGGCACCCGGCGTCGCTCGGTCTCCTCCACAAGCCAGGCAGGGGCACCCACGGGGCCCAGCTCCCCGCTGCCCGGCCCCACACCCCCTGCTCAGCCCCCTGCTCCGCTGCCTGGGGCAGGCTTAGGGTTCTCGCAATGCCCCCATAATTACACCCTCTGCGTCCCCGGCTAAACAGCAATTAGCAGCCCAAGGAGCGCTCCCCACACCCCACCGCCAGCACCCAGCATCCGCCCCGGCCGCCCACACCAGCTCAGCACCCGGCCAGGGCCGTGCCAGGGGCTGCTCCCCCCCTGAGCCTGGCTGAGGCCACGGGCGGCCGTGCCAGCACCCGGGAGCCGTGCTGGCCATGGCACGAGGCCTGGCAGAAAGGGGAAGAGCGCTGCGCCGGCGCGGCCGCCCCAGCCGTCAGGGAGGGGGCCTCTGGCCCCAGCAACGTTCTCGGAAAGAGCCGAGCTGTGTTGTGCAAGAGCCCGACCACACGGGCGGGCAGCAGGCATGCAGAGGGGCAGCAGCCACGCCAGCATCTCGCCTTCGCGGGCACCGTGCGCCAGGCAGGGCGCAGCCGTGCCGTGGATCGGGCAGGCCCCCGCTGCTCACGGTGCCAGCAGCCCTCCCCAGCACGCCACGATGCTGGGGGCTGGCAGGACATGGCAGTGGGCACAGCCCCACACCAGCAGCCCCGGGAGGGAGGGAGCGTGGCACCTGCCTGCCAACCCTCCGCCTGCCCTTTGCTCCCCATAAAGGAGGGGAACGGCGCCAGCCCCCCCTGGCCCAGGTGTGCCAGGTGCTAAGGGCGGGAGATAAGGTGGGCGAGGCGGGCAGGGAGGGGCACGGCATGGGCACGCAGCCCTGACTCAGGGTTCCCGCTGGTGGCCAGGCCCCGCTGGGGGTGACTCACCGCGGCCCCCCCACCCTGGGGGTGTTGCAACCTCCCACGCGCCATCGCCAGCCCCACGGGGCCGCTCTGCCCAGCTGGGGGGCACGGGGGGTGCCCACCCGCGGAGCTCTCGGTCCACCCAGCGGGCAAGGGGCTATTGAGGAAGCGGGGTGCTGGCCTCTGGAACGAGGGACTGACCCTCATCCATCCTCAGCATGGCTGGTGCCACCAGTGGTGGCACTGGCTGGGGATGCCCAAACCCCCATTCCCCACGGGATAGGGACAGGGCATGTCCTGCGCCAGGCCTGGCTCCAGCACAGCCCCAGTCCCTGTCCCCGAGGCAGGACGGACATCCAGCCACAGCACCCCAATGGGCATCTGCACCTCTCCCGCTCCACACCCGAAAACGTGGGGCCCTGACCTGCTGGGACACACGGCCCCACTGCTAACTACCTGCGCGTCCAGCAGCGGATGGGGCAGAGGTGGCCGGGGGCGTGCAGCCTCTGTGGGTCTCCCCGGCGCTCCCCGCTCCAAGCGCGGCTGTCCTGGGACGTCCCAAGGGCAGGGGAGAGGCCACGCGAGGCCGGACGCTTCGGCTGTCCCCAGCTGCACCCTGCTGGGGTGGCACGAGGAGCGGGGCCACGCGGAGGCACCAGCAGGCAGAAGGAAGGAAGCAAGGAAGGAAGGGGTTGCCGAAACGGAGCTTGAAGGGGGGAACAGGAAGGAAATGGTCAACAGCAAACACTGCATCGGATCGCCCCAGCGCAGAGTGAAACCCACCCACGGGCGTCTGCCAGGGCAGGGAAGGGTTGGGGCTGAGGTTTGGGCTTGTCCAGGGTGAGAGGCGCTCACACGGCTCCAAACGGGGCCTTCGGTACCCAGGCCAGCGCCGAGAGGGGCCCCATTGTGGTCTGGGTCCCACAGCCCAGCCCACTCCGTGGGGCGGCTGCCCACACCCTGCCCGGGGCCCCCACGGGCAGCAGCGAGCCCCAGGCACCCCCCAGGAGCCACGTTCTGGTCACCAAGAGTCAGGGGCAGCGGGACCAGATTCCCCCAGCCTTACAGCGTGGGACAGCCGGCACTGGGGAGAGCAGGGCCAGGCGGCTCCGCTCCCGCTCACCCCGCAGCACGCAGACAGTCACGGGAGCCCCTTGGAGCACAGCCAGACCCCCAGGTCCTGCTGCACCGTGTGGCCCTGGGGGGGTGCCACAGGCTGGTGACATCTCCTCCCCCCACGTGGGACCCTGTCCTCACAGCACCCCGGGAACCAAGCGATGCCAGCACCACGGAACTGGTGCAGGATGGGCTCCAGTGCTCCATCCCGGCACTGGTCCCTGTGGGGTCACCTGGCAAGGACAGTGCGAGCCCACAGCCCCCCCTTAAGCCCCCCGAAATAGCCCAGCTTCCGCCCCCACGGCAGCTGCCTGCCTCCAGCTCCCCGCTGCCCACGGATGATCCTGGGGGAGGAAGGGAGGGAGCGGGCGGCCCTAATCCCCCCCGAGCCCACTTAGCGCTGCCAGCGAGGCTGAGCCTGGCACAGCACCCCCAGCCCACACAGCACCAACAGCGAGACCCCCGGCCATGCCCCCCCACCTCAGGGGGCACGACAGGGGGCCTGCGATGGAGCAGAGCTGGGGCAGCAGGACATGGATCCAGGCCACTGCACGTGGGACTGTCCCCACGCTGTCCCCAGCCCTGCAGCAACCCGGCCGGGATGCCCCCACCGAGCCAGCTGGCTCCCAAGCAGCCCCAGAGGGACGGGAATCCCCTTCCCCTCCCCATCTCAGCCCCCACAGCAGAACATCTTCCTGCCCATCCTCACCACAGCCCCCAGCGCTGCTGGGGGGAACCCGGCACGGGGACAGCCGGGGACGGCACCGCAGCAGAGCGGCCAAGGCATCGCCGTGTTCCCCGGCTCATTGGCACCCAGCGTGGGCAGCACCCAGCGCCTGCACCACCAGGGACCCAGCGCCCTGCGGCAGGACCCCCCGTACTCACCGCTGCCTCCAGCCGCTGCCCATGGGGCCTGGGGACGCGGCGGGGACAGCCAGGGCAGAGCGGAGCACGCAGCACAGCCGAGCCTGCCGGGAGAGGCCAGCGCTCGCCTGACCTACTTCTCCTTCCGCATCACCTGCTTTCATTTTCCCTCACCACGGCTCGGTCCCCCCGCCCGCCCACAGCCCCGCCAAGTCACGCCAGCGGCTCCCCAGGGGCACAGGGCGCCGGGGCCCGCGGCTCCCTACGGCACCGGCGTGCACGTGGCCGGGTCGGCCGCACCCGGGGCACGGAGCACGGCGGGGCCCTGGGCGCGCTGAAGGTCACCGGCCGCAGCTGGGGACAGCTCCGCAGCAGGCACGGCCGCCTCCCCCACCGCCCACGCGGCCACCCGAGCGTCACCTCCCTGGCACGAAGCGAGTTCGACGGGTCTCAGCCCAGCCCCTCGCCGGGTCCTCCGGCCGCCCTGGGGCTCGCCGGGGTGTGGACACGCAGCTCCCGGGGCATGTCGGGGGACGCCGGCGCTGCCTCGGGGAGCCGGGCGGGTGCGGAGAAGGGAGCCCGGCTCCCACCCCCGGCACCCCGCTGGCTCCCGCACTGGGGTTACTATGGCAAGGCCGCAGCACGGGGGGAGCGCGCGCACTCCCGGGGGCTCCCGCGAGCAGCCAGCATGCTGCCAGGAGAGATTTCTCTGTGGTTTCATCATCCACCGCCCGCCCCGAAGGAGAAGTTCCTGCTCCACGCACGGGGCAGCAGCCACCCCCTCCAGGGCCAGAGCGCAGGGGCTGCCCCGCACCCCCAGCTGCGCCCACTGCCCTCCCCCTGCACGCTCGGGGCCTTCGCACTCGTGCCACGTGTGCACAGAGGGTGCTCAGCAGCAGCTGGCAGAGCTGCGCTTCCACAGCCTCGGGCTTGGCACTGACTGGTGGGGGGGGGTTGTCCCTGCACGGGTGGCTCTGAACCTCCCCAGGATGCAGCCACCGATGTCCGCCACCCACCCGTCACCGTCCCCCCCCCCAGCCTGGTGGGACCCGGCCTCACCCGCTGCGTGCGCCCCCCTCCCCAGCACAGGCACCCCAGCCTGAGCAGCCCCTTCTCTCCACGCCAAGCCCCCAGACCACCACAGCCCAGTCCTGCTGCCCCACACCCCTCCCCTGCCCCACAGCTTCCTTTTCTCCAGGCTCCAAGTTCAAGTTCCTGAGCCCAACCCCTCCCTCTGCGCCTGGCCCTGGCATCACCGCCACAGCCTCAAACCCTCGGGCCAGCCCGCACACCTCCGCCGGTACCGCCAGCCTACGCCCCCTGCCCCAAACACGCAGCTGGAGCCGTGCTGGGGAGAGCTGCCAGCCCAGCTCCAGCAGGGGAAACTGAGGCACGGCGAAACTCACCCCAACGCACAGGATGCAGCTGGGGAAGGGAGCACCCGGACCTCCGGCCTCGCCGCTGTGAGGGAATGCAGGTGCCCAGCCACCAGCCCACACCAAGCCCAGTCCCGCGTCCCCTCGCCCAGTGTGAGCAGCCCCCGGTCAAGGGCAGCCGCAGCCCAAGACGGCAGCCCTCGTCTGGCGCAGGCCGGGGCGGCCGCGGCGGGAGGGTAAATACCGCACCCCGCCCCTGGACAAACACCAGGCTGGGGGCAGCCAGCCCGGGTGGGAACAATTACAGCAGGGCTGGGTGCGTGCGGGGCAGAGTCCACCGGTCCCAACGCTCGGCGGGTGCCACGGGGCAGCCGGGTGGGGTGGGCACCCCCCCCGCGGACCCACGGCTGCGGACGGGACGAAGGGAACCGTGGCCAGGGCCCCGTTTCGCCCCCGGCAGGGGCAGCAGCTCCCTTTCTCCATCACGAAGGCGGGTGCCGTGGCTGCCAGCTCGCCAGGCCCGGGCAGGTCCCCGGCAGGCCCTGCAGCACGGCACGGTGTGCCAGGACACGGGGACACCGCGTGCCGTGCCACGGCTGGCCCCAGACCCCCAGGGTGACGGGAGAGCAGCGGGGGCTCCGAGCAGCCCCCGTGCCCGCACACCCTGGGACGTGGCTGAGGGTCTCGGCCAGCAGCAGGGGGGGGCGGCCCAGCCGCTGGGGGGCCGGGCAGGGCCGTGGCACGGCCGCACGCGGGGGCTGAGCACCCGGAGCGCCCCCCCCGAGCTCCGGTGCGGGAAACCGGGGCCGCGGCCAGAGGCCTGGCAGGCGGCGGGGACCTGCCCTTGTCACCGGCTTCCCGCACTCCTCGCTGCGGGGAATTCCCCCGGAGCCGGGCCCGGTGCGCGCAGGGAGCGAGCGCCCGGTGCGCGCAACCCACGCGTGCCCGGCCCGAGCCGCCCCCCCCGCGTTCTCCCCCCCCCCGCGCCTGGCACCCGGCCCGGCGACGTGTCCACGTCCGGCGGCCCCAGCGCGGAGCCGCGGCGGGCGGCCGGGCACGGCGGGGCCGGCGGCGGCGGCTCCCGGGCTCGCCGCTCCCGGCGCGCACCCGGAGCGGAGCCGCCGGCCCCGGGGCTCGCGGCGGCCGCACCTGCCCGAGCACCTGCGGCGGAGCGAGAGGCACCGGCAGCCCCGCGCGGGGCGGGAGCGGGGCCGGCCCGAGCCGCGCCACTCACCGGGGCCGGGCTGCGGGCGGGCGCCGGTCGCTCCTCCGCTGCGAGCCGTCGGTCGGGTCGGTCCGTGCGCTCCGTCCGTCCGCCCGCCCGCTGCCCCCGCCGCCGCCGCTCACCTGCGCGCCCCGCGCTCACCTGCGCGCCCCGCCCCGCCGCCGCCGCCGCGCCCGAGCTGCGGCCGGTCCCGGGGCCGCGGCCCCGCCTCCGCCTTCACCTGCCGCCGCCGGCCCCGCCCGCCCCCCCCCCCGGCCGCCGCCGCCGGGCACCAGGAAGCGCCCGCCCCGGGCCGGTCATTGGGCGGCGCGCCGCGCTCCCGGGCTGCCATTGGCGGGGGGGGCCGCCCCTCAGCCCCGGCACACCCCCGGGAGGGCGGGGGCCCTGCGGGCGGCGGCGCGGCCCCCCCCCGGGGGCGGCGGGGGGGGGTGGGGGGGGTGCGGGCGGCGAAGCCGCGGCCGCGGCCGGGGCCGGCCCCGGGGAGCGGGGGGAGGAAGAGCTGAGTCAGAGGCGCAGGGAGGCGGCGCGGCCGGGGGGGGCGGGGGGGGGGGCGGTTAACGGGGCCGCGCTCGGACGGCCCCGGGGCCGCCCCGCCGCCCCCCGGTGGAGGGAGCCCGGCACGGCCCGGCCGCGCCTCGCCCGGTGCCAGGCGCCGAGCGCGCTCCGCCCGTTTGCGGCCGGGCCCGCCCCGCTCCGCCCGGACGCGCCCCGCTCGGGCCCCGGCTGCACCGGGGGGGGGGCGGCGGCGTCGAGCGAAAACGGGGAGCGGGGCGCGCAGGGCGGAGAACCGGGACCGCAGAACCGGGCCCGGAGGGGTTGGCGCGGCGGGGCGGCCCCCCCGGCTGCCGGTGCGGGCAGGGAAGGGCGCGGCGGTGGCGCCCCCCCCAACCCCCCCGGCCCTCCCGGAGCGGCCCCTCCGCAGGTGCCTGGGCGGGGGCCCCGCACAACCTGTTTGGGCGCCGCCGGTCCCCGGGAGGCAGCAGCGGCACGGCCCGGCCCGGCCCGGCCCGGCGCTCACCTCGCTTCACCCCGGCCCCCCCCCGGAGCGCTCCTGACTCAGAGCCCGGCCGCGGCCGCTGCCCGGCGCTGGTGGAAAGTGTGAGCCGCCGCCGCCGGGGGCTGCCAAGGCAAACACCGCCCCGCGCAGACGTTATGTCAGCGGGGCGGGCGGGCCGCGCCGGGGGGCACCGCTCCAGCGCCGGGGCCGCCCCCCGCCCCGCAGCGCTCCCGGCCGGGCCCCGCAGCCCCCGGGGCCGCCGCCGCCTCCCGCGGCCCCACCTCTCCCCGCCTCCCCCCCCCCCCCGCCTCGGCCGGCCCCGCCTCTGCCGCCGGTACCGGGCACCTGCTGCTGCTGTGCCCGGGGCGCGGAGCTGCGTGCGGCTCCCCCCCATCTCCGCCGTGCCCGTCGGTCCGTCCGTCCGCTTGTCCGTCCGTCCACCTGCCTCGCCTCCGCCCGCCCGTCCCTGCACCTCTGTCACCTCCCGTCGCCTACGGGCAGCAGCGAGCAGCACCTCCGCCCGCCCGCCCGCCCGTCCATCCGCCCGCCCGCCCCACCGGAGCCGGCCCGCGGCCGCAGGGCCCGCTCGGGGCTCCCGCGGGGGCGGCGGAGGGGGAACCCCGCAGAAAATCCCCTCCGCGCCGCCTGCCGCCGAAAGCCGCTCCCAGCCCCGCGGCGCCGACTCGCAGCGGCCTCGGCCCGGCCGCCCACCGGCCCGAAACCGGCCTCCCACGGCCCCGCCGCCTGCCGCTCCCCGCAGCCCCGGCGGGCACCGGAGCCCCCCCTCCCCCGGGGAGCCCCCCTGCGCCTCCCGGGGATCCCCCCCCACGTCCTCCGGGAGCCCCCCCAGCCCCGCCGCCGATGGCGTGGGGAGGATGGATCCGGGCCCCCGGCGCCGTCCTCAGCCCCCGGTACCGACGCTGCCTCGCCCGCTCCCCGGGCCGGGCCCCGCCGCCGCCCTCCCGGGACCCGCGGCCGCAGCCCCCGCCCCGACGGCCCCGCCGCTATTTTTAGCCGCCTGAGCTCTATTTTGGTGCCCGCCGTTGCGCTGCCGGTGCCGGCGGCGGAGCCCTCGGTTCCCGGGGCTGCGCTCCCCCCCCCTCTCCCCTACGGCCCGGCGGCGCGGCCCCGACGGCGCGGTGCGCGCTCACCTCCTCCCGCCGGGACGCGGCCGGACCGGGGCGCGGGCGGGGCCGGGGGGGGGCCGCGGAGCCGCCAGGCCCCGTCTAAGCCGGGCCGGCAGCGTGGCAGGAAGGACCGGGCGGTCATCGCGGACCGGCCCGGCCGCCTGCAGAGGGCACTGCCGGTCCCCGGAGCGGCAGCCTCCGCGGGTGCCGAGCGCGCCGTGCCCCGGGCGACGGCACCGGGAGCCCTCGGGGCGCTTCCTAGGGGGAGAACCGGCGGCCCCGCGCGGTACCGGCGCGCATCGGGACACACGAGGTTCCGTGGTGCCGGTGGCACCGTTTATTGGGTATAAATACCGGACACAGCCCGGGCGCACCGGGGCCTGGGGTACCCGCTCCCGCAACGGCTGCGCTCTCCCGGGGGGCTGGAAGGGACCGGGAGGCTCCGGGAACCTTCACGGACACCGCGCTCGTCCCGAGCCGCGCCTGAGCTCAGCTCCCCCCGGTCCCCACGTCCCGGCCATCATAACCCGGGCTGCACCCCCCCAGGGGCGCTAACCGGGCAGCAGCTGTCCCCGGCTGTGCTCACCTGCCCCATGCTCGCTCCAGCTGTGCTCAGCTGCCCTGCACTCCCTCCAGCTGTGCTCACTCTCCCCGAGTTCCAGCTGTGCTCACCTGCCCAAATTC